TGCTGTAATCTCCAGCAGCATCAACGTATTGCCACGTCGAAACATAGTCTCGGCAAATTCATGGACTAGCAAATATACGAGGCATGTTTTTTAAGTCAGTAACGTTTTGGAATTAAAAAAAAATACCTGCAAAAGTATCGCAATCACTTTATTTTTACATGAAAGCCTGCACCTTAATTCCCTTATCTACACAATTTCCGTGAATACTGAGGCACTTGTCATAACGTGGCACCAGTTTTTGAATACCATCCTGATAAAATTTTGCCGCCTGACTTGTTAACAACTGCATCACAAATGTTTTGATTTCGTTATCGTCTTGAAGACGCCGACCGCCGCAGGTGTTCTTCATGTGCAGTGTGATGCATTTGATGCAGAATGATGCATCACACTGCACTCTTCATTTGTGATGCAGTGGTTAACAAGTCAGGCGGCAGAATTTTATCAGGAGGGTATTCAAAAACTGGTGCAACGTTATGACAAGTGCCTCAATATTCACGGAAATTATGTAGAAAAGTAGACTAAGGTACAGGTTTTCATTTAAAAATATAGTTATTGCGATAACTTTGCACGTTTTTTTTATTCTAAAACGGTACAGACTTAAAAACATGCCTCGTAGAACGTAACATATAAATGAGTGATATCACTTTAAATTCTCTTTTACAAGAGAAAAGGCTCATATTAATATCAATATATATAGATGACTTACTTCCACAGCTCATCCCAACTTTAGAGACACAAAGGCTAATAAATGTCTGAAATTCCCGAGCTTAATCTTAAAATGAAACGAAAGGTAAGATTTAATCATTAACAATTATTTAGGTTACCTATATGTCGTTTTCTACGGAAATGAAATTGATTGCCATTTGAATTTATTCAATTCAAAGAGCAAGCATTAGTAAATTAACGACAATTAGAATCTTAGTAGGCATTGGAGTTTATTTAAATTATTGAGGTTCAATTTTGATACGTTCTTCTATTTATACGTTCTTCTATTTATTCTATTTCTATTTATCTTCTACACTCAGCTTATCAAAAAAGACTAAAGGCAAAAACAACCTTCACCCCGAAACCGGTAAAATTTAAATGAATTTCTTCTCCCGTCTGAAATTCCCTGAGAACGTCATTCAATCTGAATAGAAACTTCGTATCCAATCTGTCCAATTTCAGGCGTGATACCTTCGACTGACTGTGCGTAAAATTTTTTAATGATGAACTGGAATTTTCAACTGAGCGAGAAACTGTCCACAGGTGGCCTGAAGAAGACTCAAATTAAGAAAGAATTACAAAATTAGTATCTGGATCATGGCCACAGGTTGAGTTGAGATAAAAAGATGATCAAGTCATTTTCAAATTTACCAATCATATTGTGATGAACCAGCCTCTGACCTCCAATCGCCGATAACCTCACTTAACGGTTCGCATTGACCATAGTTGTCTCATTGTGATGAACCGGCCTCTGACCACCAATCGCCGGTAACCTCACTTAACGGTTCGCATTGACCATAGTTGTCTCACCCACCAATTACCGGAAGCTGAATAGGTTAACAGCTACCCAATTGGCTACGAAGCAATGCTTAAGGCGTGACAGGATTTTATAACAAATGCAAGTTCAAGGTTTATTAACTAAGAAGTTTAACAAATAGCCTACTACGGAGCTAAGACGCGGAGGAGAGAGAGAGAGAGAGCTAACTGAGGGACAAAGCTCTTGATCCTACAAGAGAAATAAGCATAGTAAGTACACTGTTAATTAATACGCCTAATGACTACCCTACCAACGGCTTTACATGACGCCAGATTAATTATTTACAATATAAGCCACCTATAAGTAAACACGCACAAAGGCACAGTAACATTAACACGAAACACGGTAACGCATAACACAGTAACAGTATTCAACAGTAACGCAAAATGCAGTTCACCTATAGGCGACGGTCAGGTAATCCCCTGTAAGCGAGGCACCAACACGCAAGCCGAAATTGACACAGCTACTATTACCAGCCTCGGCCTACATCAGCACCGGTATACTTAATCTCTACGGTCTGAATGCAAGTAGGGAATTTGCAGCCTACATACAACATTACACATATGAAACATTACGAAAGTTTAAACGTGATGACAGTTGAAAGAAAAAAATTTAATTTATGGAGCTTGAGCACTATTTCCCATTTCTCAATCATAAATAAAGTTAGCGAGCTCACCTTGGGAAAATTTTTGACGGAAGCATAAAAGACATCCATGTAGTTATGTAACTGTGTACCGTAACTGTGTATCGTAACTGTGTATCGCAACTGTATGCAAATTGTTTAACAAAATTTATCTTTATCGACTATTGACAACATAATGTCGACATGATGTCGACTATTGACATAATTTATTGAGGGCGTCATGTAATCAATTTACTGATTACAATTAGAATAATAGTCACACACTGAGTATTTTAGTCACTGTGTCACACATTGTGTATTAATAGTCACGCAATTAGAATAATAGTCACAATAATAGTCACACACATAATAGTACGTTTGGATGTGGCAAATTTGATTGGCGAATTGTTGACGAATAACTGATCGATTGCGGCGAATAATTGATCGTTTTCAGGAGGCGGAAACATTCGATATGGCGAATACGCATGTGCACGTGGCGAATAAATGATCGCTCGCACGTGGCGAATAATTGATCCTATGTGTATGGCGAATAATTAATCGTGTGCACTTGGTGAATAGCTGATCGAGCGATCACATGGCGAATAATTGATCGTACCTGTATTACGAATAATTAATCGTGTGCATGTGCCGAATAAGTGATCGCTCGCACGTGGCGAATTGATCGTATGTGTATGGCGAATAACTGATCGTGTGCACGTGGCGAATAGGTGATTGCTCACACGTAACGAATAAGTGATCGCTTGCCCGTGGCGAATAAGTGATCGCTTGTCCGTGGCTAATAATCGATCGTATGTGTATGACGAATATTTAATCGTGTGCTTGTGGCGAACAAGTGATCGGTCGCATGTTTTCTTGTGACGAAAAAATGACTTGTAGTGACTAGCTAAAATAAAAAGAATATTCTCCGCTCCTGCTAGATGTTAACTACAAGAATTTAAAGTATAATTGTATAATTATACGCGAATATTGCATTATAATACTAACGAAATATGGGCGCGAAACGGCTGGAGCGTGTTACAACAACACAGGACGCGTCTAGTTTGAATCTGAGCGTCGGTTCTGTTTCCAACTTCTCGGGAAATCCTCTGAGTTGACGAGAAGTTTTCCTTTTTAGCGCATTTTCTCAGTTATGGAAGAAAGGCGCTATTGTGCTCGTCATGTCCGTCCGTCCGACCGTGACTTCACGTCACGGACGGACGAGAAAATGCGCTTTCTGTCACTTACTGCAGTGAGTACTGATTTAAATTTTTGAAACATTTCGCGTTAATATTTTCATGAACGCGACACTAACTGACAATGAATGCTGTGTGTTTCATGTTTTCTTGTAGAAACAAATGAATTCGACGAACAAATCTGCTTCTGTTCAGACACTCTCCTTCCCTTCATTTCAGTTATCATTTCATCTTTATACACTGTTAGAAAATCGACCGTAAAAAAAACGTTCCCACCGGCGTTACAGTGGCCGGTTACTTACCGTTAATTTAAACGGCGGGAACGTTTTCCTGCACGAAAACGGTACGCCCGTTTTTGTACTTTACGGCTTCCAACAGTTTCTTTCATCCAGAATATTATAATCCGACATAGCGAGACATAAGAAGACAAAGCGAGACATAAGAAGACATAGCGAGACATAAGAAGACATAGCGAGACATAAGAAGACNACTCGCCGCTCGTCCATATAAAACTCTGTAGTAATGGTCAGAATTATCATCTATTTACATGGTTGAATTACGACATAAATAGTATGTCGTAAGCTTTAAACTTTTGTCTGAAGATTATAAAGGGGCGACAGGCCATGACAATTCGACTAAGCCGCACGGCGACAATGGTCGACACTCGACAGCCATGTCATTGGACACTGGACAGTGATGTCAAAACTAAAATAATACACCTCAGTTGCACACCAGAATACCTAAAACTTGCACAAAAAACACCAAGTAAATAACTTTATAACTCATGCGACACCTGCAATAAGTAGGCTTAATTATGTGCACGAAACAATACAGGCTTCTACTCAAGATGGCGCCAAGATGTGATCTCAACTGCCGACTGTGGCGCCACCTCGCGCTTAAATTTAACAAAGAAGTTATTGTCACGTTATGCCAAATAACGTGAAATGGACTGCAAGAAACCACAGCTATCTGACTGTTTTTCACCGTTTTTTCTAACAGTGTAGGCCCTCAAGACACCTCTAACATTTCCATGTCCCCAAATGCATGTCCGCGAAACTTACATCAAGTTACAGACAGCGAAGTGTCTCTCGATTCTCGGAACTAAATGCGACGCATATATGCCATTTAAATGTAGCTATTGCTTTCTTGGGTCTTTTGTGTTTACTTTCCTTATGTGTAGTCCTACTTTTCTTGATATTTTTTTAATTACGTAATGATTTTAATGCGCGTTCAACACGGAAAAATTGAGTAACAGACAACCCAACATTTTATCCACAACAAAAGGGCCAATCAAAACAACATTCATGCACATAATGTATTGTAAATTATTTCGCCCAAGCTGTGTAAAAGTTCCATTGTTGAATGTTATCAGGGGGAGAAAAAACAAGAGGCTCGAAGGATAACTTCAAGTCACTAATTTTGAAGTGCAGGGAGCGCAAAAAAAATTATGATTTCTGATTAGATTTAAGTTTATAATGATTGGTTACACGCTTATTTATTTCAACTTTATTCAAGCCACATTACATTGAACACGTCGAATTCTATTAATTTCAAGTGCATCAAATATAAATTTCTTGACACAAAATATATTAGTACAAAGCGAAATACCTCACTTCTTCAGAAGTGTTTCAGTTTCATTTTTTAATATAATAATTGTTAATATGATTTTAAACAAAATTTTATTGAATTTGACTGTTCACAAATTACAATATATTTCCAATTAGACAATTTTTACATCACGTGGATGCATTAACTGGAGAAATTGGTCCCCTAATAATATTGTTCACCTGTTGTGAACACTTCAAAGCCGGCAATCAGATGAAGGAATGATGACCAGGTTGCGCAGGTCACCCAGTGTACTGGTACGTCGCATTGATGATGCATGCGGACTTCGCCACGAACTGTTTGCCGCATTTAATTATATCAAAAATAACGTTCATGGCATGAAATGATGCTTCAGTTGTAGTGTATAAAAGTGAAAGAATGCTTAGAACTGTAGTGATAACTTTACGCAACATTATCCAATGAAATTAGAGAAAGGTAGAATGATATGCGACACATATTCACAGGTTATTATATGTCACATCGGCATCAGAAAAGGTGATTAACAGATCATAGAATCTTCCTGAAATCTGAAATTTCGACACATTTTTACAAAAAAAAAAAACTGAATGAATTGCATAATTTTACACATGCTCGTAAATCAAATCATCACTCAGCTTTTATGTTAACATATGATATATATTCAGTGCAAAATAATCTTAGCTTATTTTCCTGCTATAAAATAACTTTGAGCGTATCCAGCTAAGGCAAGAAAAACTTACCGCGTAGTTGTCGATGGTAGAGCCACATTTACTCGCAGCGAAGTTGTACTGAGCAACGCTGCACTTAGGGTTACTGGTGGCCCAAGTCTTGAACTGGTCTAAGACCTTCTTGTTGTCGATGGACCCATCAGCCTTCAACTAGAAACGAATGAATGAGTTCTGTATTCCCATTTACAAGAATTTTAACTTCATAATATAATTTAATACCTTATGAAATTACTTGAAATAGATATCTCTGATGGTGCACTAAATATAGCGTTGGTCCCATTATGAGCTGTCACGTTCAACACCACAAATAGTGTCAGCTGATATTCAAAGTGAAGTTCATGACAGATGATGAAAAGGCATCTTAGCGATATTTTATGACTTACGTAACCAAGTTTTCCCGCTACACATTTCATGAAGGGAGCTCCGGCTACTTCGCACTTGCGATCGCCGACAGTGAACACGTATCTCGCGCAGACAGGAATAGCTGCAGGATTAGTAAATTCCTTCTTTAGATTATAAATCTCTCATAATTTACGATGGTTCCACTCACTATTTTAAGATATGTCTCTTAATAACACCAATTACTAAAAAGAAAAGGTCTAGAACTGAGTTTTGAAAACAAAATAATATCAATTGGGTGAATTACCATAAGGTAGCGCTATGGTATAATATTCCAGATCAACCAATTGATGTAATAAATCTTGCAATATCTAACCTGCGGTGGCTTTCAAGGCGGCAAATGCCACTGGATCCGACCTGCAAGCGGTGTAGGCAGCATTCAGGCCTGCGCCAATCAACTTGCCGTCGAGGGCCGTTGCACACGCATTTGCACTGGGGTGGAGAAATGAATAGGAATAAGTACGCCAGGTAAGTAACATCAAAAGATGAACATTTACCGTCTTAGTAAGGAAAACATGTAATATCAATAGCTCTAAATGTAACTTTTCAGCATTGATTTGTAGTGGCTGTACAAAATTAGAGCACAAAGCAATATGATCTAAAAATTTAGGATAAAGTGGACAGCTAGGAGGGGAGAACATAGCGTCTGAATGCAAATGCTGTGTTCACTTACCCGTCAACACCGGAGTAGGCAAAGGTTGCTGTGAGAAGAAGGAAAAGACCGACAGATTTCATCATGTTGGTAGTCGCAAAGGCTGAAGAGGCTAAGGCAAAACGCGTCGTGAACGAAAGGCTGTTTGAAGTCCTGTGACTTGGTGCGATACATGGTCTGACTTTATAGCTTTATGATATTATTGAAACAGTTGGTTTTATTTGTCGATCGCGTGCTTACAGCTGTCTGTCAGAGACTATCCGTCACACAGCTAATGGCATCTAGATCCACAATCAAATGTTGACATTTAGATTTAACTGTTTGTTTAGAAAATTTAAACTCTCTCGAAAAAATGAAAGGTATATATATTAAATAGAAATATATTCGAAGATGATGGAATCATGTTCAAATGTTATAATTTTTTACATGGAAAGTTATTTATGTCAAAATAAATTTTTTTCATCACGCGTATGTATACCTGATAATAAGAGGATATCATCACGCGTGCTCAGCGTTGGTTCAGGTGAAGTGGGGAAGCTCTTGAACAGATGCTCCATGCTTGCATCATTGCATGGACATCAAAGCTGACAATGACTGATGACTTTGCATGGACATCAAAGCTGACAATGACTGATGACTTTGCATGGATGTCAAATGACAATGACTGATGACTTTAGATCGCAAATGATCACAATCAAGTGTGTTCAGCTGACATTTGCACCGCGACATGATCATTCTAAATTATACGGTGTCATTGAGTTGTGCCAGCATTATCTTCATAATTCATGAGCTGCCTTGTGGTTCGATTCAACATTACAATAAACATTCTAACATGTGACATTCTGAGTTGCATCCTAGTCTCCATATTCCTTTTCATATTGCAATATACATTCTATGTTACAAAACTCGGAGGTGCACGGAATGAATAACATAACTGCGTGCGTATCAAAATAAGAGTTCAAATAGCGTAACAGGCTGCGGGTTGGCCAAAAGCTTTCGTTTTGGACCCCCGCTATGCTTTTTATGCGTTTCTCCTGTTAAATACGCGCAATGCTGACTGATAAGCACAGTCCCCCTTATCTTCAGTACATTTACTTCAAGTGGAGTCGCGTTATGTATGAATTTAAGATCACCAAGGAAGAAATTGAAACCCCTGCACCCCGAGGGGTCTGCAGAAAATGTTAATTACTCATAATTGGGATCTTTAGAGTTTGTGGAAAAGAAAAAGAAATTTCTTTCCATACCCGTCATATTAATAAGATAAGCTGGCTTCATGTACTCTCTTATCTGTGTTCCATTGTGTGATTGCGCAAAGTTGCGAGGAAAATTGTTTATCATTGACCATCTTCGAAAAAAACTTACTTGTGTGCTGGAAAGAGCACGTCCTCTGTTAACTTCACCATTTTCTGATTGTAAACCGCTGCGGATTCGGCAGAAGAAGCGTTGCTTCTTTTCGTAGCTGCTTTTATCAAATCTCTTTAAATGCTTTGATGCAGCTTCTTGAGAATGCAACGCTCTTATTGTGTAAATTTGACTAACTGAAATGGCTTTAACTATTAATATAATGCATGTGCATTTATTCGTTCACCATGATTCACAGAGCTATTCTTCTTTGAACGTCAATATGTATAATCCGCATGGAAATACGAGGGCCGATGTGCTGCCGTTCGAATAAAAAGAAAAATCTTAGTCAACTTTCTATTAAAATTGAGCAGAGATAAAAAACTGTAATTGTTTCAGTTCTTTTCGTACTTAATCATTAGTCATTTTTTATCTTCTGTGAGGCTCAAACTTTATCATTGTTAAACAAATTTTGCACTAAGCGGAGAGTACAAACAAACCCTAATTCATTTCTAATCCCAGTTGTAACGTAGAGCCCCGACCACTAACGATCTTGTCTGGTTCAGCCGCGCTTTAGCTGGACAGAGCCGTGAAAGCAGAACTGTAGCGGTGCTGTCAGCTAGAGAGGTCGCCCACTAGTAGAAAGTTTGTGTTTGTACTGGTGCTGCTGATGCGAGAAGTGAGCCATGAGTAATTTCGCCAGTGGATGAGAATTTTGATGGAGTCGTTGGTGGTTAACTGCCAAGGATTACAGAAAAATGTGGAGGCAAGTTACCGTCAATATAATGAATGCGACAGTGAGTTAGACTCGAATGACGCTACCGTTAATGACACATGAGTCGCCACTCAGTAACTACTCAGCTAAAATCACCGGCTCGTCCATAGAAACCGTCTAATACTGGTGAGAATTACAGTTTTTAGGGTGCGATTGCCTAGTGATAACTAAGAAGCATTTCCGATCGCGCTGGGAAATTGGGGCCCCTGTGATTTCTAAACAAAATAGGTAGTTTCTTTTGAAAGCCGGTGATATCAGTGCAGTGGCGAAGTTAGTGGCATTGACTGTAGAGACACTCTCATGTTAAACATCAGATGACAAAATAGAAGCTAAGGTTATATGATATCTGATATTAAATAGTGTAGCTTCTGAAGCATATGTAGCTCAGCTAATAAATCCTTCAATAAGAACTTATCGTGCCTACCTCTAATAGCTCATAATTTCTGAGGAGACTTGAAAACATTAGCGAGTGACCTTATGCTATGTGGCCACTACATGCTTTTTTAAATAATTGGCAGCAGGGCTCCAGAGCAGATGTTGACAGAGAGAAATGCCCAATTTTTCATCGAAATGGTTGGATAATCAAACTTGGATTATAGGGAAATAAAAAATTTCAATTTACAAATAATTCATTATAAATTTTGCATTACTACTTTTTAATTCAGTTCAAGCCATTGGGCTCCATACTTTTCAAACGTTAACATATTAATGTACTCCGGATTGATTATTTGTGCATAATCTATGGTTCTTAAAAGCCTGATTATTGTGACCTGATCGACCTACTTTCAAGAGTTATCTGTTACTAGATTTGAATGCACTGTTCGTTTTCTCCTGGTATAATTAAAATTTCAATTCAGAGCGAACCATTATTTTGCCTTCATTATGGGTCCCTCGATGACGTAACTCTCATTGCCTTAATTAAAGGTATCGAATTGATGCGTCACCAGTAGGTACCCCCTGCAAGTACATCCATTAATTGTAATCAGAGCTGATGTGGGCACGGTGGCAGAGGGCCTCCTTGATCGCGCTGATTTGAGCGACAGCTAACAAGCCCTGTACGTACTGTTCTGGTATATTTTCCCGCGAGCGCGACCCTGACAGCTTTCTGACAGCTTTCGACAGCTTTCAACCCTATAGTGTTTTTTTTCCCGGAAACTAACTTTTCGAACCTAAAATCTGACAGGTTTGACAGCTTTCGACCCTAAGAACCCGACAGGTCCCTAGAAAACGAACCTAAAAACGAACCTATTTGGTATCTTTTCCCCGGAAGAAAAACGACCCTATTTTAAGATAATCCACAATTTTAAAGATAGAAACCTAGAATTTTAACGATAATCTTACAGTGACCTCAAGGTTAGGTTAGGTTAGGTCTGGTTCCATTATCTTTAAAAAAGATAAAAAAAAACTTTACCTGACTGGACCTAACCTTGAGGACTCTCACCAATTAAAGATAATCGAAAATTGTCTTAGACGTGTTTTACCGTTTTTTAAGATAATCATTATCTTAGAAGTTATAGCCACCTGTCAGATTTCTGGTTGCAACCGGTCGACCCTACAGCTTTGGTTTATTATACCATTTTTTCCTTTATAAAAATACCAGAAACGAACCTATAATACCAGCGACACAAAAACTACAGACCGTTCCTTCTCCTGAGACCTCCATGAATTTTGATTGCAGTTGACCGCTATATAATGTCTACATTTTGTATTTGAAAATAGCAAACAAGACAAGTAATGATTGAAGTTTTCAAGCAAGAAGAATCGTCAGCCATCCTACTTTCCTTCACCCCGAGATCCGTTCAAGCCTCTTAGCGTGAGTCAAATAGATCTACTGTGAAGCCCTTAATATTTAAAAAATAATAGTAGTCGATTCTTAACATAAATAATATTCGCCGATTCTTAACATTGCGTAACATTCACATCATGTTACGGTCTTAGTCGCAACTCGTTGCTCCAATTCTGCTGTTAACCGCCGACCCTTTACCGCAGATTCAAACCAAAAACTGGCGCAAAGAGCTGGGCTCGAGCCAGGACCTCTCTACTCCAATCTCGATGCTCAGAACTGTAACCACTCGGCCACCCTCCGTAAGCACCTACATTGCGACAGGAAGATGCAGGAAGAGCCTGATCGATGACACATTCACCCGCGGCAACGATCTGCTGGACAGGAAGTGGTTGGAGGCGAAGAACTGCTCCAGGGAACACGCAATATTCTTCGAGGCATGTGACAGGTGTAGGGTAAAGGTCGCCTGCCTGTTTTGACGGTTGTCCCTTTGATATGCTATTTTTATTTATGTCGACACCCTTCATGCAGACACACATCCAAATCGGTGGAAAAATAATACAACATTATTTACTTAGTTTGTAATCAGAAATAAACAGAAATAACATAAAGATATTAACCAAATGAAGCATATAATGTACCCTATTCAATGTTAGTAGATCTATACATATATTATGAAATGGAAGTAGTAAAATTTTTCTGATATATTAGATAAAAATTAGGAGAAAAAGTTAACTTACCTAAAAAGAATTTTGACTGTTTCGAAATCTTAAAATGTAGGTGAAACTTTGATTTAAATTTAACTATACCAATCAAATGTGCTGCATAATTATAATGTTATCCACGATACTTACCGTGTCGAGATAATAACAGAACCAGAAATTTCCTTCTTAGTGGTAGAATATTAAAGGATGTCAGAAAAAAAGAGGAAGTACTGGATAGAAAATTGAAATTTGATTTGGCAATTGGTGCATATAAATTTAATTTGTATGGCGCAAAATAGTTCTTCCATATTTTGAATACGAGTCCCTGATTAAGCGAGAGTAATGTGGAAGTCTTATCTTCTATTTAAAATATCGGTTTGAAGGGGTTTTCAAATAATTAGAGCACATAAGATTTATTGTAAATAATGGTACAGGGAATTACGGGAATAATAAAATTTCAAATAAAAGAATCGTGAAGCCTGGCAAACGCCGGGCTAACCTGCTACGGTAGGTTATATTTTTCAATACAACTGCTGAATGATATGATAATAATGGACGCATGAATA